TGGATGAATGTCAGTGCATTACAGCAAATGAAAGCAGCCAGATTCAAAAGGCTTCATGCTGTACGATTCATCTATATGGCATTGTGGTTATGGGAACAGAACATTGATGAATGGCTGCCAGGGGCTAGGGGTGAGAGGAGGAGTTGGCTACAAGGAGCACAGAGAAATCTTGGAGATAATGATAATATTCTGTATGTTGATTGTGGTAGTGGCTACACAACTGCATGTATTTGTCAAAACTCACAGAACCCTACGTGCAAGACAGGTGAATTTTACTGTGTATAAAGTATACTTTTTTAAGATTTTATTTATTTGACAGAGAGAGAGAAAGCAAGCACAAGCAAGGGGGGGAGCATGCAGAGGGAGATGGAGAAGCAGACTCCCCACTGAGCAGGGAGCCTGATGCGGGTCTTGATCCCAGGACCCTGGGAGCATGACCTGAGCCGAAGGCAGACGCTTAACCAACTAAGCCACCCAAGCATCCCTATAAAGTATACTTTAATTTAAAAATACTTAAAAATAAAAATAAGCAAGCAATGACTTAATTTTAATTTACCAACAAGACCTGTCCAACCTTCTACCTTTAACAGAATTATGCTTAAACCAAACACACTGACAGCTTGCCTATTTAAAAATACTCACAGAGAAGATTCTATAAGCCCAAATGATAGTATACTGTTACTCTACAGGACTTAAAGAATGGGCAACAAAAATCTGGCTAGGGAACAAATAAAAGTAACTTGCATCTGTACTCAAAAACAAAACAAAACAAACAAAAAAACACCCCACCATAAAAATAAGCTTATTTTTCAAATCTGGCTTTGAGGTGCACTATGGCATGGAAACTTGGGCCTAATACTCATAAGGCAAGGAGCCAGGTGCCCAACATAGTCTGATGCATCATATCAACCAATCTGAAGAGGCAAACTACTAAAATGACTCAGGATGACTGTTCTAGATTCACAATAATGAAGAAGCCAACAGGATTTTCTTAATCCCATATTGCCTTGGGTCCTGACACTGAGCAGAATTCATCATTATACACAGGGTAAGGCAAAGTCATTTCACAGGTGGAACTATAAGAGAAATAAGTTGGAATAAAACTTGGAATAAAAGAGAAAGGGTTAAAGAATACAAGTTTTAGGGGCACCTGGCTGGCTCAGTAGATGGAGCATGTGACTCTTGATCTCACGGTTATGGGTTTGAGGGCCACATTGGGCATAGAGATTACTTAAAACAAAACAAAACAAAACTACAAAGAATACAAGTTTTATTTCACCATACCTGTTGGCACATATACACACTATTTTGTACTGAACTGAACACACCATCATCCTAGTCTTCTTCTGTCTTACTCTGTCTCACTCTGAATATAAATTGCTCTGCCTTTCCTCCTTCCCTCATCTGTTTCTGTCTTCCAGAGAAATAGATCATTTTAATCTCCCTGAAGCTACAGGGTCAGATGGAGGCAGCTGTATCATAATAGAAAATACGAGGAGCTGAATTTCCAGTCTGGGGTGTCCCTGAGGGTCCAAACATGGACCCTGAGACCATTACAAAACTGATCTGATTTTTTTTTTTTTTAAAGATTTTATTTATTTGAGAGAGAGAGAATGAGAGATAGAGAGCACGAGAGGGAAGAGGGTCAGAGGGAGAAGCAGACTCCCCGCTGAGCAGGGAGCCCGATGTGGGACTCGATCCCGGGACTCCAGGATCATGACCTGAGCCGAAGGCAGTCGCTTAACCAACTGAGCCACCCAGGCGCCCCTGAGTTTCTGAGTCAAGTACAGAGGCATCCTCATCTCTGTGTGCACTGACATTAGTATCCACTACACCCAACACAGATACAAGTGCCAATAAAACATATTTTGAAGAAATATGCAGGCACTCATTCTACCAAATCCCAGAAGATCTCCCTTCTGAAAGCAAGCACTTGCCTCTTACAGTAGACCAATGATTTGGTAGATATAGTTTTAAGAGCCTGTATCTACACCTAGAGCACCCAAGATTTTAATACTACAAATACCAAAATAGGTGATAACAATCAACCTTGCAAAATAAATAAATAAAAATAAATTTCAAGAAGTACCACCCCACACAGAATTATTAACCCATACATCATGACTTATAGTGTATATACACAAATGAAATGGGAATTCCTCTGTGAGCAAACAAATACTTTCAAGGGTTATATAATCAGAGTAATGCCCAATTTTCATTGATAACTCTGGGATACTAAGGGCATATACAATTTATTCACCCAAGTTGGGTTAGTCTGCATCAGTTTCCAAGGCTTTCATCAGAGAAGGTCTAACCTTTGAGATATTTCTTACCTCAGTCTATTTCAAGTATTATTAATAGGCCCCCTGGAGCTTATCATTGACTCAAGCACCTCGTGGCCTAAGCAAAGTCTGCCAAGAAAGAAAGGTCTTTAAGTCAAGAGCAGCATCAAGGCACCACAACCTGAAGTGTAAATCATTTACTGTGACCTTGTGGGGGGGAGGAGAAAAATCAACCACCAATATCACCTGGGGGTTTCTTCCAACATGCCAAGATGGCAATTCACAGTTGGTCAAGAGGCTGCGGCCAAACAAAAGGGAGAAAGAAAGCAATTATCCTGATAATTCATACTGTGCTTATATAACAGATGGATATTTTAATGAAACAATTCAGATAACTGTACCACTCTCCATTTCACAGAAGGACAATCAGTCACAAAGTAAATTGTTCGGCTACTGGCCGCTCCCGTCTCACATTCTGAATATAACCTTTTACGTACCCTAAGAGTTCTTCAGAGCATGGAGAGACATACTGTCACTCCACGGAAACTGACTTGTAAAAGAGTTCCTGAGCCAATAAAGGCCCCTTGTCTTGATTTAAACAAAGAGATAGTTTCTCAACAGAAGGTTTGTTTGGCTTCAAATCTTCAAGCAGCTTAATCTTTGGCTGAATTTGTCTAATACTGAGTATACCTATTCAACTCAACTCATTGCCAGGTCCATAAACAGGGACGAATGCCTATATTGCCTACGCAGGTGTCACTGTTGTTAAAACCCTCATAGCCGTCATCTCCTTCCTCTCCTATTTCAAGAGATTACTGAATGGGAAGAGCATATAAAGTGAGAAGTTGTACTGCACGATCTGGGATGGTAGTTAAGATAGAAGGAAAGGCACCAAAAAGGTCAGTCTCAGAAGGGATCAGAAAAATGGTTACCTTGTATGAGAACGAGATCTACCAGAGTGACCTCAAAGCAGGTGCTTTTCTCAGGGCATTATTAAAATATATACAGCAAGGACCAGATTCAGGTAGCAGAGTCACCTTAGAAGAAACAGGGCTACTGAGTTGCACTAAGAAAACTGTGCTTTGATAGAATAGTGATTCAGTAAAGAAGCACATGGACCAGAAACTGGATTCTATTTCTCTATCATCTGTGAACCCAAGAAATGGTTCGTTCCAGAAACCAGATCTCAATCCCCTTAACATCTTAAATATACTTGAAAAATAAATGTTCACCTTCTCAAAGAGTCCAGAAACTTTAATGAATATGGCCCTCTTAGCATCTGTCTTATGTATATTCAGCTCCTTATTAGGTGAGATATAAAGCTCTGGAATTTAAGTCTGGAAAATCTATGCCAAAGGGCAACTTGTTTCTTTTCTAATCTTGCACAAGTAACAATTTTCTAAGCTTCAGATTCCTCATCTGTAAAATGGGAACTACAACACTACTTGCCACACCTACTTCAAGAATCACTGCTGAGATTCACATAGGGGCAGACATACATAAGAATTTTTAAACAGCAAAGGACTATACAAATGTTGGTTGCTACCTTAGGTGGGGCACTATTCTAAGCAGGAAAAAAAAAACAGATACAAACAGGATGAAAAGAAGAGAAGGTTCTTCCATGTGAAAGAGAAGGGTTACACACGCAGTGAGGAATAATTTTAGGCTACTGGCTAATACATTCAGTGAGGTGGTATGACACAAAATGGAATTATTATTTAGAAGTGGATCCTCATGCCAACACGTTCACTTTGCACACACAGAAGAAAAAGAAAAATAAGAAAGATTAGGAGTGGGTGTCCAGCTCTCAGCTCACCAAAATAACTGATGAAGTTCCTTTCCGGGAGGGGGGGTGGAGTTAGTTTTGACAGTATATATTGAACATTACTGCGTAAGTAAGAATACTGTTGCATAAGATGAGAGAAGTGAAAGTGTTATTACTAAGCACACCACTGTTAAGTTATCCACAACCCATATACTATAGCTATATATAGGGCATATGATTTTTATAAAAAGCTTTAAGAAAAAAGAAAAGAAAAAGACTATTCCACAATTATCAAACAAACGTAAGTGATTCAGTAGATTGGTTCTCCATAGGAAGCTCTTAGGGAGGTAATACTCTTAAGAAGATACCCATAACAGTGAGGTCAGGGGTGTTCTAGGAGCCTGTAGGAGACACAAACTGTTTATGAATCATTACAAACCAGCAAAACAAGAGGTGTGGTTTCAGAAGATCTGCTTGCCTTAACCCAATACAGGGGTTTACTCTCTAAGTGGTCTAAGATATTCTATAATAGGGTCACACAAACAGAAAACTGAATTTTTTGAAAAGGCATCAGACAAATGACATTGACTATGCTTATACGAGCGACATGGTGTACATGCACACCAACTAGACAGAGTGAAGATGACTAATCTATAGGGATAACACCAGGGACCAAATCATCAGTAACCATGACAACTCAAGTAGGTGGAGGGAAATACAAACACTGACCAGGCAGCGGGGTGACACTACTCCTTCAGGTAGAGACCCTGGGGTCGGAAAAAGACTTGGTGAGTGGGGGAAGCCGTGCGAGAATGAAACCGACTAGCCCCAGAGGGCCAGTGTCCGTGCAGGAGGGCTCGGTGGTGACACTAACACTCCCCATGGGCGGCCCGCAGGGGTCACAGGCTCATCTATAGGAGACTGGACGCCTATAAGACTGAAAAGGGAGTTACCTGGTGCAGGGCTGTCAAGCCGTCCACGTTGACCGTGTTGATGTCGGCACCTCTGGCCAGAAGCTTTTTCACCTCGTCGGTGTCCCCGCTAGAGCAAGCGGCCAGGAAAACAGCACCGTCCTCGAAGCGGACCCTAGGGCTCCCGCGACGAGTCTGCGGCTGCCGCCCCGCGCCTCGTCGCTCCGCGGGTTCCTGCTCTGTCAGCGAGCCCCGCCAGCGCCGAAGCTGCTCAGCCCGCCGCATTCGCGCGGACTCTGCCCGCTTCCCGCCCAGGTGCTCTAGCTCAGCCATTGCTCTGGCCTCAGCAGCTGCTGCTGAAACTACCACCCCTGGATTGCTATTGCTGCCCCAGTTGCCGCTGCAGCTTCCCTCGGAGCGCTTCAGCCGGGAGCAGAAGGCGGAGATCCCCGCACCGCCATCTTTACTCCTCCCGCCAGTAGCACCGCCCGCTCGCTCCCTCGGCTTCAACACGCAGGCGCTGCCCGCGCCTCGGGTCATCACGGGACTCGTAGTGAGAGACGGGCCCTAAGGGCAGATCATGGCCTTGAGGGAACTACAAATCCCTGGATGCATCAGGGAAGAGGCGAGGTCCCGCTGCTCCCTACTTCGCGGCCGGACCCAGAGGGGTCACCTTTGCCCTAAAGCTGGAATTGTGTCCCCGACCGGCGTCAGCCTCTTCGAGCATTTCGGGAATTGTAGTTTATTCCTGTTGTGACTGCTGCCTAATCTTGGCTCCCTAATTATCACATCAGTCCTTTGAAGTGGAAAAGAGGCAGTAATTATCCCTATTTTCTATTGGGGAAAACTAGACATAAAGTACTCGAAAAACTCAAATCTATGCCCTGGTTCTAAATCTAAATCTTATTTACATTACAACGTATAATACATTACCGTGTATTAATCACAGTAAATGCAAAGGTGCGTGGGGAGGAGGAGCATGGATACATATACTGCGTCCCATATTATACATAAACCCTTTTAACGAGTCACTTATATTTTAGGCCCTAAAAAGATCCAGGAAAGGATGCATCCAACGATAGTGGAAAGAATATAAAAGCTTTCAATTCAAACTGAATTCACATCCCTAAAAAAGTTACTTGATTTCCCCGAAGCTGTTTCCTGATTTGTAAAAGTGAGAATAGTAATACCTCACAGAATAGTCCTGTGGATTAAATAATACATGCAAGGCTACCTAGTACTATACTTGGCACATACCAGCTCACTAATATACTAATTAGATACTAATTTCCCTTCTTTCTCCCTCCTCCTTCTCTATCCTTTTCATGGATCTTAAATTCTTAGGAGACAGAGTGGATGCCTTGTCTTTTGTGATTTTTCCCCCCAAAGTTACAAAAAGACAACAATGGGGCATACTAAACTCCTAAGGCAGCAAGCATGACATTTTCATATTTACAGTGAACTTGGTTATAAAACCTGTACGATTGATTTAATACCTATACCCCCAGGGCCATAGCCCTGGACAAAATATAATTAAATGTGCTGTCCATAATGAAAGAGAACATATACAATTTTTAGGTTCTGTAAGTTTTCAAATAGTCTTCTGTATGTTTAAAATTTTAATTAAAAATGATTACAAGAGTGATTAGGACATTGTAAAGGGAAACTTTATTATATTCCATTGTGAACATTTGTGGGTGCTTCAACTTCCCCTGAGATGAACTGAGAATTAAATGAAAAATGACATGCAAATGCAAAATGTTTAATACCGTGCCTGTCCACAATATGCTTTAATTAGGTATTCTTAAATACTTTATAAATACTAATTTTCTTACTATAGTCTTTGTGAAAAGTGAGTAACAATGTGCAATAAAATAATCAAGATGTGGGGGCACCTGGGTGGCTCGGTTGGTTAAGCGTCTGCCTTCGGCTCAGGTCATGATCCCAGGGTCCTCCGAATGAGCCCCGCCTGCTCAGCGGGGAGTCTGCTTCTCCTTCTCCTCCCTTTGCCCCTGCCCCCGCTCCTGCACACACTCTCTCTCTCTAATAAGTAAAATCGTTTTTTAAAAATAAAGATTTTATTTGTTTACTTGACACAGAGAGCAAGCGAGAGAGCACAAGCAAGGGTAAGGGCAGAGGGAGAGGGAGAAGCAGGTTTCCTGCTCAATCCCAGGACCCTGGGATCATGACCTGAGCCAAAGGCAGACGGTTAACGGACTGAGCCACCCAGGTGCCCCAACATAATGGTTTTCTAGTAAGAATTTTTAACTGGGGTAAAATTTTCAGGGATCAATAATGTTACATTTCTTTTGACTATATTATTTTCACATTCAGAATCAGGGAAGAACTATCTGGCTCCAGTTGTATAAATAAGCTAAAATTGGCCAAGTCCAAGTTAAACCCTTCTATTCATAAGAGGTAAACCTAAATTTCAACAGGATGAATTCAATCTCAATATTAGGAAGTTCCAGGAAATACTTCCTTACTATATCTATTTTATTTGCTTCCCCCCGCCCCCGAGGTTGTTAGAGTATATAATATCCTTTTTGGAGATTGTCCTAAGTTCCTTGGATAATTTAAGTGCATCCCTACCTGGAAGGGAGAGGAATTTATCTTCAGCTACATGATTACAAAAAGCAGTAATAATTATTATAATCCAATTAATTTAACTGGCTCAACAGAAAAAAAGTTATGCCACAGAAAATAAAACAAAATTAATCTGTGTCTAATGGCTCAAAAAGTTTTTCAAAATTAAAATCACGGAAGTTTTTTTCTTAAACATCTTCCCCCAACCAGGACTTTCTGAGAGTAAACATATAATCAGCCCATTAAACAAACATGATAGTTTAGATTTACTAAACAAATACTCTATACTAAAGAAAATCTTTTATACTCAAGTTACTCAAATTGAGTAAATCCTGGCAAATAATCCTGTGTATAAATAAAATATAATTTTTGTGCTTTTAAATGTACTAAATGAGCCGGCTATGATGCATCTATATTCTTGTGTGAAGAAACTTTTGTTAAATAATTTCCCACACATACACTTAAAAAAATAAATCACAATATAAAATGGGGCACCTGGGTGGCTCAGTCAGTTGAGTGTCTGCCTTTGACTCAGGTCATGATCCAGGGACCCTGGGATCGAGCCCCGCGTTGGGCTCTCCGCTCAGCAGGGAGCCTGCTTCTCCTTGTGCGCACTCTCTCTCTAATAAATAAATAAATCTTTAAAAATAAATAAATAAATAAAATGTTCCCTTTTTAAAAGCAATGACACCTATACACAGGTAACGAAAAATTTTCCGCCTGGCCTCTTTTCTCACCAGTTAACATACCTCCCTCTGGTGGACAAATGGAAACTGTACATTTAGCCTGCGGAGTTTTTACCTTTTTTTTTATTCAATCCTTTCAGTTTAGTTGCCAAAATTATTTTTTTTAAGATTTTATTTATTTGAGAGAGAGAGAATGAGAGATAGAGAGCACGAGAGGGGGGAGTGGGAGAGGGAGAAGCAGGCTTCCCGCAGAGCAGGGAGCCCGATGCAGGGCTTGATCCCAGGACCCTGGGATCGTGACCTGAGCCGAAGGCAGTTGCCCAACCAACTGAGCCACCCAGGCGCCCCTAGTTGCCAAAATTATTGGTATTTGCTTGTTTTATGATACCATCTCTCCTTTCCCAGACGCAACACAGTTCGTGCTTTTTCTAAGAGATATTTTATATTTTTTTAAGATTTTATTTATTTGACAGAAAGAGACACAGCGAGAGAGGGAACACAAGCAGGGGGAGTGGGAGAGGGAGAAGCAGGCTTCCCGCAGAGCAGGGAGCCCGATGCAGGGCTTGATCCCAGGACCCTGGGATCATGACCTGAGCGGAAGGCAGGCGCTTAACGACTGAGCCACCCAGGCGCCCCTCTAAGACACATTTTAAAGACCCCTTTGTCAGAGAACCACCCAAAGAAGTGATCAGTTTCAGTTCTGAAGACAGAATTGTAATTGAAATACAATTACATTTGGGGTAGGAAGAAATTAAAGAAGACCGTTGAAGGAATTAAAACAAAATATCCATAGTAAAATAAGCAGCCAACTCCAGATTTATGACAGAAAACACTTCTCTACAATGAGTAAATATTAACAATAAATGCAAAACCCCAGCAGCTAACTGGAAATTAGATTGGACAGTCCCAGGATTCCTTATGTTTGTAATTCATAAGCTACTTCAGTTGATTCATTCTTACAACCAACGTGAGGATCCCCAGGTAGAATCATGGACAGAGTGCTAGTGAATGGGTGGATATCTGGAGGAGACGTAACATACATGCAGTGGGCTCGGGGAACCAAGCGCTACTTAACACCAATGTGGACTAAATATAGAAATCACTGCAGTGGCCAGAAGTATATCGGTTTGCAAGTTTAGAAAGACTGGCCATTACTCCTATGCCACCACTGTTCCAAAGCCACACAATGAGCTGAAAGCAGTGAGATAAGGGTTTGGTGTGTGTGTGTGTGGTGGTGGTGGTGTTTTTCCACCACAGTATTCCCAAAGGCTAGTCAAGTTGCAGCCGTGTCTTTAGATTCAGGTCAGGTCCGAAGTCAAGGCTGGTTTAGCCATAAACGGGTACTTCCTTCATCAAGTAGTACCACACTTTTAGAGTTGGAAGGCCTCAAAGCCATCTATTCTAAACTTCCACCCACGCAGGGATCCTCTTCGCACTACCCCTAATTCCCCTTGAACACTTGCAGTGATGAAGGAATTCACTACGTCCCAAGTTTACCTCTTCCGTTCTTCAGGGTTCTAATTGCTAGAATGCTTTACTGAGCTAAATTTTGCAATCCTTTAACTTTCATCCATTAGTCTTAGATGTGTCCTCTGCCGCAGTAAAATTCTCCAGGTGAAAAACACTTAAAATGAAGAGAGGTATCACGCAGTCCCTACTCCAGTTCAAGTATTTCCGGTTCCCTTCATTGTTCCTCCTCTGAGGCGATTTCCAGCTCCTTCCCCGCTCTGACAAAGAAAGCTGACATCGTAACCCAACTTGACACCTCAGGGCCAGACCAAATGATGCAGCCCTCGCGAACTGGCGGGAACCTCCACCCTGATCAACAGCTCCGTGTACGAGGGGGAGTGACTACGTCTGACGCGCGCTCTAATTTGAAAGCTGCGTGAGCGGAAGCCGGGCTCAGAGCGCTGTCCAATAGGGGGATGCGCTCCTCCCCCGGGCATTGCCGCGGGCCAATCGCAAGCCCCTCGTGGCGGAAGGCGGAGCGACGCCAACCGTCTGGGCGTGCGCAGGCGTGGGGAGCAGCTGGTCCGGGCGTCGCTACGTTGTGAGGTGAGTACCGCCAGGTAAGAGGGTAGTTTTGTGGCCCCCCAGCGGAGAGAGCACATCCCGGCGGTGGTCTCTGTGAGTGTCAGGGACCAGGAGTCCTGTTTCGGTCTAATGTGGGAGTTTCCTGTCTTCAGAAGGGAGAAGCGGCTGTTGAGCGGAGGCTTTGTCGGAATCTCCGCAGCCCGTCGGCGGCCAGAGCTCCCCGAGCCGCCGGTGTCCCGCAGGGAGAAGTGTGTCCCTGGGAAGGAGACTCCGCTGCCCGGCGCTCGCTGCGGGGCCGCGCACAGGCCGTTTTGCCTTCTCCACCATCTGGTCCAAAACCCACGTTTCCAACACTAGTTACAGGGCTGCATACTAGTAGGCATTGTTGACTTAAGAATTTGAAAAAAAAAAAAAAAAAAAGAAATTACGAAGACTACACCCGCCCTCAAGGGATTTTCGCCCCACGAGAAGAAGCTGTCAGAGATGAATAACAACTCCCGGTGCAAGTTGGTGTGGAAGCACGGAGAGAGTGACAAGTGAAAGGAGTGAAGGATTGGGGCGCATTACTAGAGAAGGGCAAGAAGTGATCATTTAATGTGTAATATCTGTAGATGTGAAAGAAGATGAGACTCTTAATGGGCAGCAAAAAGAAGTCGGTGTGGCTGAAGCACAAATTTGTGGGGAGTGGTTACTGGATATGAAGTTGGGGTTTGATTGTAAAGAACCTCTGTGCCCAGAAAATACGCACTAATTGATGGCTTTTGAGCTAACGAGTGCCATATACCAGTTTGTGTTAATATAAGTGAGACTGGGGTCTGCCTCCATTAGAGAAATTGTCTTGCTTATTCCTCACCCGATTCTAATCCCTTTCCCGTGCCCTTCCCCTGGGTTCTCATTTTACTATAAAGGTACGCGCTATTTCTTGTGGATTCTTGTCTTATTGTGGTCGCTTTCTTAGCATCTGCTTACTGAGAAAAGTAGTAGGGATCTGTATATAAAACAGGAGGTTAATTATCCAGTGAAACGCCTGCCTCCAAAAGATGATGGTCTTATGGGTGCATCTAAGGAAATTTGGAAGTACTTTAAAGAATAATTTATATGAAAGACTGTTATAGTGTAATTCTATTTAACAATTTAATTCACTTGTAATATTATTAATTTCATTTAAATATTTCTGGAAGAGTTTGTGAATTGTGGAGGAGCAGCAAGCCTGGAGATTAGAAAAGGAAGATCCAAAGAACTATTTTGTCTGCAGCACAGAATGTCTTTACCTAGCCAATACACAAATTTAGTCTCCTTTAAACATCCCTGTGGCGGAGGTACACTCAATTTAAGTGTATGATTATCATAAGAACCATCCAATAACTACAATCTGTGCCCACCAGGTAATCTTCTGATTATAATTAGTTTTCCAAATAGAAATAGTATAAGGAGGGAATGTATGGGATTAAAAATAAAAATTTTATCATAGTTGTACAAATTAATAAATTGACCTTTTAATGTAAAGCCTTTGTGAGTGAGCCTGGAATAAATTAGTACATGTAAGCCCAACTGAACCTAGGTTTACTGCCAAGTTGAGTATTCGGTTTACAAAACTGAGAACCAGATCCTGAGATGTATATACGTGTGGACTTTTATGAGGTGATTGTAAAACTCATGGAAGAGCAGAGGATCGAGAATAACCAAGATATTCCTGAAGAAAAAGAACAAGGCGTAGGAACTCAACTTAACTATATATCGTCTTATTAATAAGCTACAGTAATTAAAACAGTGAGGTATTGGCTCAAAGATAATCCAGTTGACCAATGGAACAAATTGAATCTCAAGACAGATCCACACATATATGCAAATTTAGTTTATGACCATATCAGCGGGGAAAGGAAAGACTTTCCAAAAAAAGGGACTAGGACAATAGGTTATTCATATGGAGGAAAAGATCCAAAATTGGATCTCTACCTCACACTGAACACAAAAATCAATTCCTACTGGATTAAATGTGAAAGCAAGATTGTAAAACATTTAGAAGATACAGACAAATATCTAAGTTTGGGGATAAGGAAAAATTTAATACATAAAAGTGTAAGTGTACAGGAAAAGGTTTTAAAATTGATTACGTTAAAGTTAATAGTTGTGTATCTGTCAAAAGACATGAGTAAAGTGGAAAGACATGCCACAAACTGGAAGATAGCGTATGTAACTCATAAAAAAATCGGTATCCTTTGAGTGGCAGCTAAAGGGAGTAGAGTTACGAAGGGTGTTGAGTGTGTGTAGGTGTGGGTGTTTGTTTTAGATGAGAGAGATTTTGAGCATATTTGAATGTTGATGGGGAAAAGGTTGGAAATACTGAAGAATTGGGAGGATGTGGAAACCAGAATACATGGAGAAAACTTCATACATGTAAGCATTCACTTACAAATACTTCAGAGTGAGACTATCTCCATCATATTCATTCCTTGCTCTCCTCACAAAGCATATATAGACTTCCACAGCTAATATTTGTCAAGCCTTTTCTATGCCAGGTATACTGAGGATGCAGTGGAGAGCAAAATTAGACCCAGGCTGTACCTCCTGAGTTTATAATTTATCAGTGGAAACAGACATTAATTGAAAACTTGTAGTGTTTTTGTTGTTTGTAGAGCGTTTTGCATTTTTAATCTTTATTTTTAAAATGTGCTTGAATAGATAACAGAAAGGAAATGGAAAAAACTCAGATTCCTTTCTCAGAATAGGGATTAATATGAAGAATTTGTTTTGTTTTTCACTAAACTGAAGCCATGTGCTAAAAACTCGAGTCACCATTGCTGACTATTTCATGGTTGTCCCTTTTCTCCCTAGTGAATCCCAGCCAGCTTCTAGTGTGGTGCAGTGAACTGTGTGTGGTTCCTTCTACTCGGGGACCATGCAGAGAGCTTCACGTCTAAAGAGAGAGCTGAACTTGTTAGCCACAGAGCCACCCCCAGGCATCACTTGCTGGCAAGATAAGGACAAAATGGATGATCTGCGAGCTCGTAGGTATCATGTCATGCCTATGATGACCCTATTGAAAATTGTGCTGAAATCTGAACATTTGTATATTCTAAACTAGAGAACAATGACAAGGTCAAAGTACCTTATCATCTTTCTAAACCTAATTTGTTTACATGTACAAAAGGTTTGCTTGACATTTCTTCTCTGGCCTTTTTTACACCTTTTGCTGATTTATAGCCAAGATTTGGGCGTCAGCTCTGCAGCAGTGTTTAGACCAAAGATCACCATCTCAAATATCTGTGAGGCCAGACAGGAAACATAATCAGAATACTGCAGTACAGACAGAACAAATCTGCAGCTTATATTTGATCTGTGGTCAGTATTGTCCAACTTCTGTTTTGATCTTCTGTCCTTTGACACCATCAATTTTTGGGGTACATTGGTGCATTGCATGAGAAGCTTGTTAAAGCCCTAAGAGGAGAGAATTACTGTCCTAGACCCAGGTTTCCTTTAGGACCATAGACTTTATTAGGTCTGTATGGTGTGGTCATTCAGATCTTCTGATTACCTCTTAATTTCTTTCTTTTTTTTCTTTTAAGAAATATTAGGTGCTGCTGACACACCTTATGAAAAAGGTGTTTTCAAGCTGGAAGTTAGCATTCCCGAGAGGTTAGTGTGAATTAGATTTCTTTTTTTTCTTTGAGAGAGAGAGAGCACATGCAGAGTGGGTAAGGGCAGAGGGAGACAGAGAGAATTTTAAGCAGGCTCCACACCCAACACGGGGCTGGATCATGACCTGAGCCAAAATCAAGAGTTGGACGCTTAACTGACTGAGCCACCCAAGCGCCCAGTGTGAATTAGATTCTAAACTTACAGGGTAAAGGACGGTTATTGGAAGATAGAGTGATGTAGTAGTGTTAAATGTAGGAGTTAAAGGTCCTAGGTTTTAATCCTAGTCTTATCATGATGTAATGTGACCTTGGGCAAGTTATTTTATCTCTCTGGAGTTCAAATTCCTTCTCTAAAAACAGACTAGATCACATCTAAGGCCCCTCTTTTCTTCATTGTGTTAAAACATACATAACATAAAATTGATCATTTAAACCATTTTTAAGTGTTTGGTTCAGTGGCATTAAGTATATTCACGTTGTCATGCACCTGTCACCATAATCCATCTCCAAAGCGTTTTCATTTTCCCAGACTGAAACTCCATACCCGTTCAGCAGTAACTTGCCAGCTCCCCAGTCCCCCAGCACCTGGCAACCACCATTCTCCTTTCTGTCTTTATGTTAAGGCCCCTCCTAATTCAGGTCTCCTTTAAGGTTCTCATCAAGTGAGTCGTAGTTGTAGTTTTGTGCAGAATGGGGAAGGGAAGAAATGAATGAATGACTGTTGATATGTAGATGTCTTTTCACTAGATCAGATCCTGGCCAAACTTGTTAAAGTCCTGAGAGAAGTAGCTTGATAATCATGTGATACATCAGTTCTGAAAATAGGCTGGGAATTTTCCAAGGTTTGTGTCTCATTAAAAAGGCATAATAACCAAATGCAGTGGGGGCACCTGGGTGGCTCAGTTAAGTGTCTGACTCTTGATTTCGGCTCAGGTCATGATCCCAGGGTTGTGGGATTGAGCCCTGTGTTGGGCTCTCTGATCAGTGGGGAGTCTGCTTGAGATTCTCCCTATCCCTCAACCCCTCCCCCACACACATGCGCTGTCATGCTCGTTCTCTCAAATGAATAAGTCTTTAAAAAAACATGCAGTGTATAAATCTTAATTTGATCCTGTTTTTCAGAACCTATCTGTACAAAAAGTGGGCGGCAATTGAGGAAATCTGAATAGTAGATGATATTGGGAAATACATTTTTAATTTTTTCATAGGTATACTGATAGTATTGCCGTTATATAGGAGAATGACCTTATTCTTGGGAGATATGTGCTCAAGTATTTACAGGATGAAGCGGTTTGATCTAGGTGGTGGGTACATGAGTGTTTTTAATGCTATTATTTCAACTTTTCTATCGTTTGTAAGTTTTCATAATAAAAATTTGAGGAGAAAAAAGGTTTGCCTCTCAAAGGCTGTCTTCCTAATTAGTCACCAGGAAGCCTTTATTGTTATATGTTTATAATGAAACAATACATTAATAAAAATTCTCTATTATCCTGTGTTTTCAAAGGTACCCCTTTGAACCTCCTCAGATCCGATTTCTGACTCCAATCTATCATCCAAACATCGATTCTGCTGGAAGGATTTGTTTAGATGTTCTCAAATTGCCACCAAAAGTGAGTGGTGGGTAAAGGGTGGACACAGCATTCTGTGATTCTCATCTATAAAACTGGAATTAGAGTATCACATTCTTAGTAATACAAAAGCAGCTGCCTATCTTCTGTATATAGGGCGCCTGGAGACCATCCCTCAACATTGCAACTGTACTGACTTCTATTCAGCTGCTCATGTCCGAACCCAACCCCGATGACCCCCTCATGGCCGACATAGTAAGTGTCCTCTTGCCCTCTGCGGCGCACGTCCTGCTTTCTGCATACCTCTGATATTTCATTTATGAGGATAGCTGTGGCAGCTGCAGCTTAACCACTACAAAGCATTTTTCTCTCCATTGACTCTTCTTTGATTTTGTCTCAGTCCTCCGAATTTAAATATAATAAGCCAGTCTTCCTCAAGAATGCCAGGCAGTGGACAGAGAAGCATGCAAAACAGAAACAGAAGGTATGATGATTGTACAGTTCTGATTTTGCTACTGTTGTTAATCCATTCAAAGTGTATTTATCACGGGCGCCTGGGTGGCTCAGGTGGTTAAGCGACTGCCTTCGGCTCAGGTCGTGATCCTGGAGTCCCGGGATCGAGTCCCGCGTCGGGCTCCCTGCTCGGCGGGGAGTCTGCTTCTCCCTCTGACCTTCCTCCCTCTCATGCTCTCACTCTACCATTCTCTCTCTCTCTCAATAAATAAATAAAAATCTTTTTTTTTAAAAAAAGTGTATTTATCTGTAAATGCGTAAATGGTTATTAAGTTTGCCAAATTTGTAACGTACTCTAGAGTAGCTAACTGATTTTTTTCTCCTATTAAAACTTTCTAAATAGTTATTCAACAAAATAGCCTAGTAGCTCAACCAACAGTATATTTTTCCTAACAGTTGTCATCTTTGACAACACTAGAGGGCAGGCAGCATCTGCTTAATGTTTTTTATATTCTTGGGGTAGCCTGGATAGATGAGAGGTGACTCTGATTCTTTTTTTGAGGTTTTCTTTTTTAACACTGAGAAGGGACTATTGCAGGAATCAGGAAGGAGTGAGAGAGGTATAGGAGAGAGGGGAAAATGAACATTTCTTATGGGACCATTCATAGAAGGGAGAAGGAAAATTTCCCCAATTTAAGTTGATAGAGCTTCCTCATTTAACAATACAAATTATAGGAACACAAAGATTTGCATATTCTGGTTCTTGCTGAGTTATAACATTGAGTTAAGTAGCAGTTACTTATGAAAAGAAATAAAAACTTAAAACATACAAAAGATTGAAGAAGATGCTTCTGAAGGGAATATCATATACAAGAGGCAACAAAGAAGTACTTGGAAATAATATTAACAGCACTTCATTTGTTCTCCAGCCTGGTTCATAGTGTGAACCTTACATTTTACCGTATCTGCTCCTTTTTAGGCTGATGAGGAAGAGATGCCTGATGATCTGCCAGAGGCTGGTGACTCAGAAGTATGCAACACAACACAGAAAAGGAAAGCCAGGCAGCTGGGAGGCATAGAAAAGAAATTTCACTCTGATGCTTAGGGGTTTGTCCTGGTTGTAGTTAATATATTTTTTGTTAAGATGTTCTAATTTGCCTGCCTCTCTTGGATGTTTTTCTTTGTATTTGATGACATTATCATCTTTCATGTCCTATAAGACAGACCTTGTGTATTTACGTATTCTGCTCTACACTGATTCTCTGAGGCTAGTTTGTTTTATTTAGCTTGTACGTATGTAGTTTGAAACCTTTTAAACCTGAAAAATAAATAACCACTTAATGTTGAGTATGTGTTTATTCTGAATGTGTGTCTGAGACCAAACTGTCCAGAAAGCTATATAATAAGAATGTTAAAATATTTGGAATTGTTGTCTCTTATTTTGCCAACTTACCAACATCACTAGGGACGCTGAATGTTTGACGTAGATGTAAAATTACTGTTGGAAACGATTCAGTTACCACCAGGCTTTCAAGGATTCTAGGTTTTCAGGAGTCTTAACAGAATGTGGGAATAAGGTAATGGACCCTTTTGTTAATTTTTTTGCAGTTTTTACTTTTTGCGATTTACATAGCTGGTCAGAATTACCACGGTAATAAATACTTATTGAACACCTGCTGTGTACCGAGTATTGTGCTCATGTTTTAGAATGGTGAAAAAAAATCACACATGAGATTAACCAAATAATCATACAAATTTAAATAAGGATTTCTGTAATCACTGTCTGTCCCTAACTTCGTTTCATGGCAAGTACTACTCTGAACAGATAGGTGCCAAACTTGAATCCCCTACTCACGATTTTATAATCATCTACTTAGACTTTATTATTCTATTGAGATGACAGAGAAAATGGATTTGAGCAGAAATCAGTTGAAGTGGAAAGAGACTGCCCATGCTAAGTGAAAGACTTTCTGAAGAATGTAGATATTGGTAGAAAAATAAAGACTGTAATATCCCTGTCCGTTACCCAGTGTAGCAGTTTTATCCCAGTGCAGTAGTTTTATACCGAGGCTAGGCACCGTGCACGCACGTAAAATAGTGCATCTGTGACTAGGCAATGTCTGCTCATCCACCTATGAGTTACCTTGTATCCTCACTCAGCACAGCCTGCCACAGATCATGTGTGGTACTGGACTCAAGGCAAACAAGGAGAAGTGTGAATTTATATAATCCGTAATGACAGATGATGGCACAAACTGAAAATATAAATTTCTTTTGTATCCCTCACTTCATCAACTTCCAACTTCTCTAGAATTCTTGAACCATCTCTCAAAATTCGTTCTCTTTTTAAAGCCCAGAAATGATTTTATTGTAGGTTTTTCTCCTATATTCATGCATATAAGCCAGATTTGGGGTTCCTAGATAACATACTAGTGTATCAGGTGGGATGCTTTCAGCTGTGGTGAAATCCAACTCATACTGGTGACAATACAACACGGGAAGTTCTAATGGAATAAATGGAAAGTCCAGGGGTGGGGTGAGCATCTGAATTGGTGTGTTCAGAGGCTCAGTAACACCAAGATTTCAGTCTCTTTCCACCTGCCATCCAGAGTAACAACTTGTCTTGGTTGTCTGCTCCTTAAACATACTCCCCTTTCAGAGTGACTCCTAGCAGCAGTCAGAGCTATGTACTTTCTAATTCACACCCAGCAGGCCATGGAGCGAAAGTTCCTATGATTGGACCACCCTGAAGCCCGTCACTGTGGTCAGGGAAATGCCATGTGCTGATCAGGGTGAAGCCAGACGTGAAGTGTGAGGGACTTAGGGAATAGCTGTAGGAAAGGAGCCCCTCCTATGGGACAAAACCCCTACACAACGGATCAATCACCAGGTCTGGTCAGTTCTATCAGCCACTTCTCCCTCCCTCTTCTTTTTTTTTTTTTTTTAAATGTTTTATTTATTTATTCATGAGAGTCAGAGAGAGAGCGAGGCAGAGGCAGAGGGAGAAGCAGGCTCCCCGCCTAGCAGGGAGCCCAATGTGGGGCTCGATCCCAGGACCCCAGGATCATGACCTGAGCCGAAGGCAGACGCTTAACCATCTGAGCCACCCAGGCGCCCCATCCCTCCCTCTTCTAATACTAGTTCAAGCCATTCTCATCTCACTTGTACTATAGTCCCCTTACCATGTCTCCTTGCCTCCAGCCTTGACCCTCTACAGTCCATACTTCTCAAAGCAGCAAGAATAATCTTTTGATGATGTCAAAACCAGATTTTACCTCCCCCCTTAAAACCCTTGAAGTGGCTTCCTTTTGCAATTAGGAAAATAAAAATAAAAATCCCGTCTCCTTCCCTGGGCCAGAAGACACTGATCTAGCTCCTGCTTGCTTTATCTATCCATCCTTATGGCATACCCTTTACCCCTATACACCACACTGCAGCCACACAAGCCACTTCCAATCTCTTGAACATATCTAGCTTATTCCTTGTTCAGGGATTTCTGCATTGTCCATGATGGTCTCAGCTCAGATATAGCTGTCCCAGAAAGTCCTTGTCTATCCCATCTAAAGGAGCACCTTGAGTCCCAGGCACTCTAGCCTATGGCTCATTACCCTGATTAGCTTTATTCATAGCATTTGTACCTATCGGAAAATGTGTCCATTGTATATACATTGTTCGATTCCAAGTGCTGGGTTTATAGTGGCAACAAGAAACTTTTCTCTCTAATTGCAAGAAAAACAGAGCCAAAAGTGATTAGAAGTCATCTATCCATCTCTCTGATTTAGCAAGTACAGAGGACCTGGGCTAGAGAACAGAAATGAGAGAAAATGAGAAAAGCCCAGGTCCATATCCCCAGCCCAAGGAATGATGGAAAAGGGTTAAAAGCATGGACACTGGGGTCAAGGAGGCCCCAGCCTAGCCCTGGCAGTGCTGCTTACCAACTGTGTGCCCTTAGTATGCTATACAATCTTTCTGTGCTTTGGGTTTCTCCCATAGAACAGGGATAATGATAGTACCTGACTCATGAGGTTGTTGTAAGGATTGACTTAAGATGATGCACATAAAGTGCCTAGCACAGGGCTGACATACTGAGTGCTTAGCTGGGGACTGGGGATGGAGACATAGTGGCCCAACCACAGTTGGGCCCCAAAGAGATGTTCTGCCCCTTGCCTACTCGCCAGTCTGCTCTGCTCCTAGGACAAGCAAGCTGAGTGAAGTTTCCCAGCTACAAACCCCTAATTAAAGAGGAGAGATGACATCCATGACTGATCATATAAACATTGTAGATTCCAAGCTCCCTCTCCTGCTGCCCCCATTCCCTCTCCCCACCTCTCCCCAAAAGCTATCTAAATAAGAACAGATTTTACCACCCACCTTGTGGGCAGTCTCTAAGGCTGGGGACTAGCTATTTATCCTTCTGCTGCTGTGGGAATTCAACACACACAAATAAAGCTCCTTTTCCAGCCAAGTGTGTATTTTTCCATCAGCATGTGGCCCCCCTGCCCAGGTTGTCTTGTTTAGGTTGGGGCGGCCTGAGGGAGGGAAGAACAGGGTGGGGGGTAGGGGTCTGTGGTTTCAGAACCTGCTCCCCAGGATGGGTAGCTGCAGGGCAGCTTGGAGTCCTGCACAGGGCTGCCAGTGAAGCCTGGGGTGATGGACGCAGATGTGCTCTGCCCAGAAATAACATGTTCCCCTTTCTCCTTGCTTCTTGGCAAGCTGCCCCTGGCTCCTACCATGGCTCCCAGGGAGCACGCATCCTTTTCTCCAACTCCCAGTTTCCATCAAGGATGACAGGTTATCCAGTGTCTCTCCCACCCCACCCCCACCTCCCATCCCCGCTCCAGGATTTCTCCCCTTCACGTGCTTTCCTTGCTTGCCTTTCCCCTGATCCCACAATCCCACCAGATTATGTCCCCTTCCTTCCGTGGTCTGCATCCTTTAACCAGGACCTTGCAACTCTGCTTCAAAAAAAGGCCTGCTGAGGGATCTCTCTCCCAAACCTCCCAGCAGAGGCAACTTCCTTTTGGCGGGGAGGGGGGGGGGATGGGGGGGTATTTATTCACTCGGTTCTCTCCAGACCTGGGAGTTATGTCTGGGGAACTGCCCAAACAGGGTCAGGTGGTGATGTGGTCCCTTCTGGGGGATTGTCTAGGTTTCCCTCCTCTGATGGCCCATGATCTCCAAAGTGTCTGTCTCCTAGTGCTGATATCTGGCAGTTCTGTGATTCTCAAACTACCTGTGGGATCCAAGGCCAGAGCCTGCTGGTGGTGTCAGGCTCACTCAGTGATGAAACGAGGTTGGTCTCACCTGCCCTTTCCATTCTCCCCTCTCCTCCAGCACTCTCTTGCCCTGCGTTACCCCCTGGGGCCTCCCACCCACCTCCCACTATCCCCACCTGCCAACCTATCCTGACAATCCTCCGTCCTTCCTTATTCCCATTCTACAACTGCCCTCTCCACCCTAACAGTTGGTAGGAAGTCAATGGGTTTACTCCCGGGCCATGGAGAGGGGGTGATCAGAGAGGGGGGTGTCCAAGAAACCTATTTGCAAGTGACAGACTCTAACAAACTCACATGAGCAAACAAAAGTCCTTGTTTCACAAACTGAGGAGTCCAAATGTACTGTCAGGCAAGTCTTTAGAAGAACTTGAGATATGAACCCATCTTGGACCAATCACGGTGGCCAGGGGATAGAATAAACTGAGAAGACTGGCTCACATTCCAGCTCCAGAACCTAGAGTGGAGTCAACCCCACCTGAACCACACGCCTTAGGGAGCCGTGGGGATAGTTGCCTTTAGAAAAGCCAAACGGAATTTCCTGAAGAACGGAAGCGGTGACTGGGCAGGCTGAAGTAGCAGATGCCCCAGGCAAAGGGCCTAACCTGAAGGAATAAGGAACTGTGATGGTGGAATTTCAACCACTGTGCTAGCCACGGGAGGAGCTGTTACAGAGAAGGGGGTCAGGGAACTTGCTGGCCCTTCAAATCTCACCACAGAAATAGCTGCCCACTCTGCTTTCTTATAAAGGGAAAGGACGTGCCCAAAGGGCACGACGTAGAGCTACTGAATGGAGGGCCAGTTCTCAGGAATAGAAATGTAGTTCAGACAAGACGCTATCTGTTGTTCTGTGTTATTTGCATCTTCTGGCCAGATGTCCCCGTTAGGCTGGGAAACATAATTTTTATGGATTACTTAAATATGTTAATTTCTAAAATATTCCCCCCCACTCAGCAGAAATTAATTGGGCACCTTTTTGTGCAAGGCCCCGTGGAAAGGACTGAAGCCACAACAGTGGATAACACCAAGACAGTCCCTGCTCTTGTGGAACCTTTCTGCCATGCCTACTGTCCCTTCTGAGAGAAGAGCCCATAGCCTTGCTCCAGGGGCAGCTCTGAGCAACCACATTTTGTCGGATGGGATCCCACATAAACAAACCCATTCATACACTACAATTTAGTGGACTGGGACAGGTGCCTGGCCCGAGTGGTCAGTCCATTAGTTGACCACTGACCTCTGATTTGACCTAGTGTAGGAAAAGAAGCTTGGCTAGTCAGGTTTTCCCTCAATCTCCAGGAAGTACCAAAAGAAAA